CGGGAAACCCATTTTACAGGTTTTAGGGGTCCATTTTCAGCCCCTTCCGGTACCAAGAACGCGTTAAGGATTTTCTCGTTTAAAAACACCTGCGATGACCTACAAATTGCGCTATGTGGGAACTTTTCATCGAATTTTCTACAGGTTTGACCCTTGTTACTGGACTATATTTTAAAGGAACCCGTTTAAATAATGACTAGAGCTGTGGCAAACCGTATGTATTCGTTACTCAGTAACGGGTAGTCGGTCAGATACGAAATACGAATTCGTTACTGCATTTTAAATTTCGTTACTCGCATCCGCATCGTCGCATAACGCACAATAATAATACTTGAGAATACATACCGCCACCGGTTCGGTGTGCAAGATGCGAGATGGCCCGATGGGCGATGCGAAATGCGAGTATGGCCTTGATGCGAATCGACTATCGAACCGCACGTCGACTGGGACTCTGAGAGTTCGCAACGTACTTTTGTTTATATTTATGTATTTATTTATTTCAGTTTTAAAGAATAGTATAATAGTTGTTTTTCTGTTGCGTGTTGCAAGAATATAATATGTTTTTGTTTGTTAAAGTTATGATTTTATAGAGTATTATTATTGTTTCTACTAGTGTGTTAGAAAAATATGTTTCTGTTCAACCTGTCTGACGATATTTTATTTTACAAAACTTAACATCAGTTCTCATTGCTCATGCTCAGTGAACTACACGACTTTGTAGGGAGTTTTAGCAAACAGCCGCTAACCATCCGCTAACGTTACCTTAGGGATAGACTGTAATCTACTCCGTCAATGTTTATGAAAAATGTCACAATCTAAGTTTAACGTAACGTTAGCGGAAATCTTACGTACATTTGCTAAAACTCTCTTGTTACTAATTACAAATTCGCTATGTATTTATTTAACCAACGATTCGATATCTAATTTCATCCACACCCTCTGTTAGACAGTACCAAAACCTAACAACCGAAGCAATGCGTACGTACGATTAGTTACCGACACCAATTCCGCATCCGCATAGACGTGTATGAGGTCCACACGATGCGTGTTCTGTAGATTCGTATCACAGTAACGAAAGTAACGAGTAACGAATATTTTTATACGGGTAGTCAGATCCGAAGTAACGAATACATACGGGTATTGATTTTCTCGTTACTTTTACAGCTCTAATAATGACAGAAGTAAGTTATAGTGAATACGAAAATATTTTTAAAGGCCGCCAATATTTTAACGGCCGTTAAAGAATAAAGGAATTGTTACAGAATAGACCCCATTGAGCCAGAAAGGAACCATATCTGTATACAACATTTTAAGTTTTTCTCTTAAGCCGTTTTTGAGCTATCGCGCCAACAGACAGACGACGTCAGACAGACAGGCGGAATGGGGAAACATGTTTTTCGTAATCTAGGGACCCTGAAATGTGAAAATTTGAAATATTCTCGGAGGGTGACTTTTTCACGATTACAATACTTCCCTCTTATCGAGGGAAATAGTGCAAAAAAAATAATACAAAAAAATAAAAGCAAAATAAACAAAAAATATATATATAATTAAAAAATAATAGATTTAAGTTAAAAATATGATAATATAATCATGTAAAAATAGTGGATTAAAGAATTATGGATTACTACAACAGTCTGGTCTTTTGGTTTTAAGGTTTTATCCGGTGCCATTATTTAAAAAAAAAAAGATACCTCATGGAACAAACCCGAAATTAAAAATTGGCTGTTTGAAAAAAAAACATTTTCTTTGACGTCTCCTATTTAAAATCTGAGCTTCTTGAAGTTACCAACGCATAAAGAGAGCAATACGACAAATATAAGATTGAGGAAATACTTGCAACTGTTTTACACTTACCACCATATTATTGCGAGCTTAACCCGATCGAGATGGTATGGAATCAGGTAAAGTGCTATATCGCTAGGAACAACTTTGATTTCAAGACAAAAGATGTTCGTTCATTGATAGATGAAGCATTTAAACATGTCACTGAACAAAATTGGCGTAATTGCGTTGTACATGTCAGAGAAAAAACGGAAATACAAATGTGGGTCGCTCATAAGCTCTAAGACAACGTTCAACTCATTATAAGAGTAAATTTTGGCGACAGTTCTGACAGTGAGATTTCAGACCTCGACGATGACTTACAATGACTTATCTATTGCGTAAAAATTGTTTATTTGTTAACTTATAAATTTGTAAATTTGAAATTCATTGTTTATTTATTACTGAACATACAATATTTTGAGACAAAATGTAAACCCGTATCGAAATTTGCCTGAGACCGGACCTGTTTTTTTGCCGATCTCAGCATACCGACAGCTGGCAACGGCTTGGTTTAGAAGACTCCACACTGCATTCTCAGTGTGTCTCGCACTATAGAAATCAATTTTATAACTTTACCAACTTCTAATATTTATATATCTCGCTTTACAAATAAAAAATGTGTCGAAATGGTAATCACTGAATATTTGCTGTCTTAACATTGACAATACCAATGACAATAATAAGTCATTATTTTAGTAGCATTCTTTAAATAGAGAGGCTACATTTGAAGTCAAGATAATCAGAAAGTTTGGTCAAGTCACCAGCATAACAAGTAGTGGTTGACTTGACTATATCCCCACTCCATTATTGAGGTTAACTGAGGGTCATATCAACTACATTCATAGCAAAGGCAGGTACTACAACCTGACCACATAACTCACAAAATAAGGAGCAGCAGTTTATATATTTTGAAATACTTCTACTTCTCAATTTTACATTTACACATATATAGTGGCATACTTGAGGAAAATAGCTTATACATCAAGAGTCAAGCATTAGCAGCAGTTTATATATTTTGAAGATCTTCTACTTAACAATTTTTTTGTTATTTACACATATAAAGTGGCCTCGAAAGTGGCATACCTAACGAAAGTAGCTCCTATGAGTCAAGCATCGAAATTGCAAACCATATGTATATTCAAATAATCTGGTATTAAGAAATCATACATTTTTACTTTCCTATCTGTATGCAGATAAGGAAAGTATAGGAATCATGATTTTTTTCGACCTCCAGTTTTTGACGGATTTTTACGTTTTGGGGTCCCCTGAATCCGTTTTGACTATTTTCGGAATGATGTCTGTGTGTGTGTCTGTGTGTTAGTGTGTGTGTCTGTATCCACCATAACTCATGAACCGATACAAAGAAAAACACCAAATTTTAAACTTAAGCTTTGTTCCGGCCTGCGGTGAACTGATTAGATTTTGGGCAGAGTCGGAACATTTGGGGAGGTACTTTATTGGTGGTCATTTTTATATTTTATGGAATATATCCTTTATTTACGTTTGGAGAAGAAAATTCTTCAAATAAAAGTTACTCACAATATTATTATCTATAATTTTTGTTTTATACAAAATTTTCATAAAATGGTCCGTATTCGAGAAATTTGACAAAATGTAAAAAAATTACCTTTTTATAAAAATTGTTCAAATAAAAGTTGTTTGTAATATAATTCTCTATAATTTTTATCCCATACATAATTTCTCTAAAATGGGACCGTATTCGAGATATTTGAGAAAATCTGTAAATTTCGAATTTTGAAGAAAACAAAAACCCCATAAAGAGAAAAACATTAAATTTTAAACTTAAGTTTTATTTCGGTTTGAGGTGAAATGATTAGATTTTGGACGAAGGCGGAACATCTGGGGGGTACTTTATGGGAGGCCGTTTTTATATTTTATAGAATATATATGTTATTTACGTTTGGAGAAGAAAATTTTTTAAATAAAAGTAACTTCTAATATTATTTTCTATAATTTTTGTTCTATGCAAAATTTTCCTAAAATGGTCCGTATTCGAGAAATTTTATAAAATGTAAAAAATTTTGATATTTAAGAAAATTGTTGAATTAAAAGATGTTTGCTATGTCAATTTCTATAATTTTTGTTTTTTTTACATGATTTCTCTAAAATGGACCATAATGGAAAAATTGGAGGAAAATTATAAAATTTAAATTTTTCAGAATTTTCGAGTTAGATGTATGTGGAAAATGTATATATTAAGTAAACCTTTAAATATTTACAATAGGTTGTACAAAATAACCGAAAAAAGCCCGTAATAACTAGATAGGAAAGTCATGTGTTGGACACATCAGATTTTTAATCTTTTATTATTTATGACATTATGAAATATTGGATTTTGGTTGGTTTCAGTTTATTTTTGAAATGATTCATAAATTTAGTGCCTTCTTTTCAAATGGCACTAAGGGTAAACAGCATGCCTGACAGACCATAGAGACTGCATCCAGACATACCTTCTTTATTTGTATAACAAATTATATTTTAATACTTTTTCATTAAATTTTAGCAATCTTTTAGTTTAGGAGGGTTCTAATGTCTCAACCACTTTGCACTGATGTTTAGAATTTGAATTTTACACCTACAAATGCAAATAGGTCTTTCTAACTTTGTATCACAATAAAATAAAATATAAACTTATTAAATATGTAAGAATTTCCAAACGAAAATGTTTGTAGATACAACCTCTTGTCTTAGCAGGGTAGATCTCTGATAACTCAAATTTATTTTTTCCTTGATTTAAAAAAATATGTATATAACCCTGGCAACTATTAACCATTCCAACTTTCAGAGTGAGTCAGAGCAGCAATGGACATGCACATTTAAACCCGCATAAACTGCTAAAATACAAGAGTACCTTTATTTCAGTCCTGTAGATTCGCAAAACATTTCTAAAAACTCATCTTGATTTATTGAAGGTAAAAAAGAACTCATGTTTCAACACTCTCTTATTTAAATTAAATGCAAGTTCCTCGTTAACAAAATATCCCCTTGGCCACAGAACATTCAGCTAGAGGGTAGGGAAACATTTAAAACCGAATCACTAAGGCTGGCCAATAGAAGTACGACTTGTGCATATCATGTGGTCAAAGGGCTATTTTGTTTACACTCTTAATAACAGATCGTCCTCCTTTAAAAAGTACTTTTATGGTTCATACCTGTGCCACATACATAGCCACCAATTTAAAAGCAGGTTCTTTCATTTCAGAAATAAATGTACTACTGTCTTTGGTCTCACTAAATTGTACTAGTACATTTATAACTCCACCCAATACTTGAGGAATTTCAATATTTAGCAATGCTACAATCAAAGCTCCCTGAAAATGTATAAAAATGTTTTGTTGTTTGCTTAATTATACTTCTATTTTACAAAACTGTGTCATACCACAACAGCAGCTAAAAAATACCAAATATTAGGTCTCAAGTAATTCCATAAACGGGCCCAATCAAATTTGATATTTTTCTGAGAATGTTCATATCCTTTTAGTCTGGTTTTACCGGCTTCACAAAGTACGACATTTCGAGAAATATATAATTTGACTAATAATCCACTTGTAAGAGTTAACTTCAAAGTTTTTGTATTAAAAATTGATTTCTTGGAACCACTTGATTTAAAACCATCCACTACATAATTATTAAAACTTCTATTTTTAGTCGCCAATCTTGAGAAAAGTAATTTATTGTTGTAAAACAACCTATAACATTTAAATGATTTAATGAAAAATAATTATTACATAAATATATACCCACTTATTTTGTATACTTTGTTGAAGTAATTTAAACATATTTTATATAAAATTATCTAGGTTAATTTACAAAACATTTAACAAAAATAAAATGTTGATTTTCAACAAAATCAGATAAAAATGAAACACATATTTAAATTTTTTGATGACATTTTAATTTGAACTCATTTAAGGTTATGGTTATAAGGAACACAGAACACTCAAGACAAGAAAGTTCGCAAAACACAAATTACACAAAACTCAGTTTCAATGTCAGCTCATAGAAGTGTTCTGTGGTATCATTTGTCCTGCGGGATTCTCATCTTTCAATTGGGCACATGTTGGGCGATTATCTTCGTTCCACAGATTGCGAGTTGCATGTGATGTCTCTCTTCTATTTGATTAGTTACATGTTGAGTACGCACCAGATACGTACATAATAAGGCAGAACTCAGACAGAATAGGTCGTCCACGATCAAGCACGGTCAACCAAGGACAATCACATGACTCATCGACCGTTTTAAAAGAGTGAATTCACACAGCGTCGATCGATTTGATCCGACCAAAACAAAAATGGTTCTCTATTTTAAAATTTTAATTATTGCTTGTAATGGAAATTAACAGTTGATGCTTCAATTAAATATTTGTTAATTAATATTAAATCAATAGACATTTATATTAAAAAAAAATATGAGTTTTCTGATATATATTTATATACAGTTATTCAAAATAGATCATAATAATAATATAAATATTAACCTTCGACCATTTTTTAACATATATCTATTTTATAACGTATTTAAATTCTTTATAACCTAACTTTTGATCGTCCACCATCGAGCGATCAACCAAATTTCAAACAAACTCGAAAAGTGAAATTGCTTGGTCGAGGACGGTTGATGACGGTGGCGCTCGATCGGCTTAGTGTGAGGTTTGCCATAAGCTTACGCATGTTTGAAATTTTGAACGATCGCGGACGGTCGACGTGAACGAGCTGTCTGAGTCCTGCCTAAAGAATCCCTGTCCTGTTCGAGGTGCGTTCATATCGCTTTTTAGAAATATTTTGTTTTATAAATGTTACTAACCTGTTTCAAATGCCATTTTTGACAAAAAACTGCCATGGTCATGTCAAATTTGTCAAAATTGCCAAATTGGTTTCAACTTCCAACAAGGGGTCAATCGTAAATCGTAATACAGAATAATAATTTACTTACATCATGCCTGAATTAAAAAATCGTAATAGATTGGAGAAAAAACAGTATTCTACAGAAGGTATTACACATATATATTTTTATTAGAAGCTATTTTAAAGAATTCAAAAGTTGATTGTAAATACGTTAACAATGAAGTAGCAAAAATTACGCATTTTCATTAATTTATCTTGTTTTATGATTTGGTTTTATTCAATTAAGCGTTTCAACTATAAGCTCAAATATACTAACCTTTACACTTTTGACACAATGACATTTTTTTATTTTTTGATCTAGATGAGTATGAAGATACAATGACAAAACCTCATGCTGTCCCTATAGTAGTTGCTGATGATGGTCATGCATTCAAATTAGATGAAGAAGCACTAAAAAAGGTTTTAATGAAAGACGAACTAAAGGACAGATTTGTTGTAGTTGTGTCAGTGGCTGGTGCTTTTCGTCACGGAAAGTCTTTTTTGCTCGACTTCTTTCTTAGATATATGAATGCTAAGGTAAGTTGAATTAATTTAGACTTATTGGTATTCTAATCATCTCAAGAAGTTTCGAATAAACATCTCTAATCATCTCTTCAGGGGCTCATGGTAACTATGTGCCAAAATCTGTTGAAATTGGCCGAATAGTTAGGTATTTAAAGTATTTTACGATAAATAATAATTCTGACTATAATTAGATATATTATACAGTAAGTTAACAGATGAATCAAACAGAATAAAGATGAGACGCCCAATTATATTTGGACCTGTCCTGTCTGCCAGCCATGATTACACCCATGTTACTGATAGTGGGATAGCAAGTATTGCTCTCTTTCTGTCAATTGAACGGTATTGTTATTCTATACCATTGTTCTTGAGTCAGGATTGCAAATATAACATACTACATATTGCTTTACAAAAGATTTAATATAAACTTTTCAAAATTTCGTTCACTCAGGCATCCAAACAAATTATTTGAACATTTATAAAATTGTATATCCCATAATACATTCATTATTTACAGTAGTACTTTGTTTATACATTTTTTTTATCAACTAGATAAGTATGTAGATTAATTTAAGAATAAATCATTTATTGCTCATTATCTAAATTTCTTTCTAAATTGCTATTATATTATTAAACATAATTAAGGTACCTATTTTCTTTGTTTATTCTAAAATACATTCTTAATCGATATAATTAATTAGTCAGTTAAAAATAATGTAACATAAAATATTAAATCAATATCAATCAATTTTTATTTCATTATAAAAATAACTTAAATTATTTATATAAGTTTATAAAAGTTTGTTAAAAATACACTTTGATCACTGAACTTATTAACATCCACATCCAAAAAAAGTTATTTGTTTTATTTAATGTAAATGAGAATATATTTAAAAAATATGTTTTCAATTCTTATAATGTGCTGTTTTTAATTAAGAACAGTGGAATGGATATTATGTAAGCAACATTTTCTACCATTGTTACTAAAACAATTAAGTAATAATTTGTGATTAATGAATATCATCTTGAAAACATTTATAGATAAGTTTCTCTTTAAATAATTTTGCAAAATGATTAAGTACTTTTTTATGCAAGGTATCATTTAAGTAAGATTTGACTGTTTTACAATTCATAACAATGTCTTATTTTTTTTTTTTGTTTATAGATAACCAGTTATTTTTTAATCCATGGGCAATATTGTCAATATAAAATATTGAGTTACCTGTGTCAAATCACCTTAATGATTATTCAGGGTTAAGGTAAACAAATTTTAATGGGTACTAGCTAACAAAAAGACTCATAACATCAATCCAAATAAATTATATTTTTTTTATGTATATATTTTAAAAACGTATTAGAGTGAAGACAAATGATACTTGTGATTATATGTTGTTAATTGTCCTTTTAAAGTGTTTATTTCTTATGTCTGAAAGTAACATGAATATTAATATTTTAAAATGCATTTGAACTTTTATTGATAATAACTATCATCATTGTATAAGTTATTTAGCCATTCTGTAGCTGCAGCCATTATAATGGCAACAAGAACTGGAGAATTAGTTTCCATAATGGCTGAAAATGTAGCCTATTTTATTTAAACAATGAATAACCTATTTGATGCCTTAAATAGATCTTCTGTATATAGTTCAAAACCTTGTAACCGATTGTATTGTATTGAGAATAAAGAGGTGATTAATGCTGTTACACAAGGATACGAACTTTTAAAGAATATGGCTAAACAAACTGCCAAAGGTAAATTAACGATTTATTCGATGATTTTCTTCTTACCATAAATGCCGTTAAAGAGTTTTATTCCTATATTATTACTCAAACTCAACTTAAATATGTATTAACAGGAAGGCTAATTCAGGATCCATTAGAAAACCAATTTTCTGTCTACATGCAGAAAAGGGGTTATAATCGAAGCCCTACTATTAACGGGAGTGAAGTTATCCACATCCACAAATGTACACTGAGAAAAATATAACTCTATCGTAATAGTCATATAACTTGGTTCAAATTACCTGTAGAGGCTTTTCATTTGTAGATTTCAATTGGGGAGGTTTCAATACACAGCAACCATACCCGCAATTAACTTTTGCTTTGTCTCAGGGGGTGCAATTGGAGGTGAATTTAAAAAAAAATAAAAGAAGCCACAAATGGCTTTGTACACCTTTCTGCTTGGGACATGTTATGTAGTATACTCTTTTCTTCATCCCTGATACCATGCTGGAGTTTGTCGAGTCGTCTGAGGGGGTGCAATTGGGGGTGAAATAAAAAAAATCATAGAAGCCACAAATGGCTTTGTACACCTTTCTGCAAGCGATATGTTATGTAGTTTGCTCTTTTCTTTATCCCAGATACCATGCTGGAGTTTGTCGAGTCGTCTGAGGGAGTGCAATTGGGGATGAAATTTAAAAAAAAATCATAGACGCCACAAATGGATTTGTACACCTTTCTGCTTGCGATATGTTATGTAATTTGCTCTTTTCTTTCTCCCAGATACCATGCTGGAGTTTGTCGAGCCGTCTGAGGGGGTGCAATTGGGGATGAAATTAAAAAAAAATCACAGAAGCCACAAATGGCTTTGTACACCTTTTTACTTGAGATATGTTATGAAGATAGCTATTTTCTTTATGCCTGATACCATGCTGGAGTGTCGAGCCGTCTGAGGGGGTGCAATTGGGGGTGAAATTAAACAAAAAATCATAGAAGCCACAACTGGCTTTGTACACCTTTCTGCTTGGGATATGTTATGTAGTTTGCTCTTTTCTTCATCCCTGATAGCATGCTGGAGTTTGTCGAGCCGTCTGAGGGGGTGCAATTGGGGATGAAATTAAAAAAAATCACAGAAGCCACAAATGGCTTTGTACACCTTTTTACTTGAGATATGTTATGAAGATAGCTATTTTCTTTATGCCTGATACCATGCTGGAGTTTGTCGGGCCGTATGAGGGGGTGCAATTGGGGGTGAAATTAAACAAAAAACCATAGAAGCCACAAATGGATTTGTACACCTTTCTGCTTGTGATATATTATCTAGTTGGCTCTTTTCTTCATAAAGATTTCTTCATAAAGATCTTTTTTGATAATTTTGTTTTTCCTTTTTGTCAAAATTAAGAGGGCCCTTGTCGATTTTATGTTTTTTATTTTTAAAATTCCAAATCATTAAGCTGTGGAAATAAAAAATATCACATCCGGAAAAAGAGAAGTGATTCTGAGCTGAAATAATAGAAATATGGACAATATGTTCTTATATAAGTTTTCCGAAATTTAAAATATATCACATAACATATCACAAGCAGAAAGGTGTACAAAGCCATTTGTGGCTTCTATGATTTTTTGTTTAATTTGACCCCCAATTGCACCCCCTCAGACGGCTCGACAAACTCCAGCATGGTATTAGGCATAAAGAAAATAGCTATCTTCATAACATATCTCAAGTAAAAAGGTGTACAAAGCCATTTGTAGCTTCTGTGATTTTTTTTTTATTTCATCCCCAATTGCACCCCCTCAGACGGCTCGACAAACTCCAGCATGCTATCAGGGATGGAGAAAAGAGCAAACTACATAACATATCCCAAGCAGAAAGGTGTACAAAACCATTTGTGGCTTCTATGATTTTTTGTTTAATTTCACCCCCAATTGCACTCTCTCAGACGGCCCGACAAACTCCAGCATGGTATCAGGCATAAAGAAAATAGCTATCTTCATAACATATCTCAAGTAAAAAGGTGTACAAAGCCATTTGTGGTTTCTGTGATTTTTTTTTAAATTTCATCCCCAATTGCATCCCCTCAGACGGCTCGACAAACTCCAGCATGCTATCAGAGATAAAGAAAAGAGCAAACTACATAACATATCCCAAGCAGAAAGGTGTACAAAGCCAGTTGTGGCTTCTATGATTTTTTGTTTAATTTCACCCCCAATTGCACCCCCTCAGAAGGCTCGACACTGCAGCATGGTATCAAGCATAAAGAAAATAGCTATCTTCATAACATATCTCAAGTAAAAAGGTGTACAAAGCCATTTGTGGCTTGTGATTTTTTTAAATTTCATCCCCAATTGCACCCCCTCAGACGGCTCGACAAACTCCAGCATGCTATCAGGGATGAAGAAAAGAGCAAACTACATAACATATCCCAAGCAGAAAGGTGTACAAAGCCAGTTGTGGCTTCTATGATTTTTTGTTTAATTTCACCCCCAATTGCACCCCCTCAGACGGCTCGACACTCCAGCATGGTATCAGGCATAAAGAAAATAGCTGTCTTCATAACATATCTCAAGTAAAAAGGTGTACAAAGCCATTTGTGGCTTCTGTGATTTTTTTTAATTTCATCCCCAATTGCACCCCCTCAGACGGCTCGACAAACTCCAGCATGGTATCTGGGAGAAAGAAAAGAGCAAATTACATAACATATCGCAAGCAGAAAGGTGTACAAATCCATTTGTGGCGTCTATGATTTTTTTTTTAAATTTCATCCCCAATTGCACTCCCTCAGACGACTCGACAAACTCCAGCATGGTATCTGGGATGAAGAAAAGAGCAAACTACATAACATATCGCTTGCAGAAAGGTGCACAAAGCCATTTGTGGCTTCTATTTTTTTATTTCACCCCCAATTGCACCCCCTCAGACGGCTCGACAAACTCCAGCATGCTATCATGGATGAAAAAAAGAGAAAATTACATAACATATCCCAAGCAGAAAGGTGTACAAAGCTATTTGTGGCTTTTATGTTTTTTTTTAATTTCATCCCCAATTGCACCCCCTCAGACGGCTCGACAAACTCTAGCATGGTATCAGGGATGAAGAAAAGAGTAAACTACATAACATATCCCAAGCAGAAAGGTGTACAAAGCCATTTGTGGCTTCTATGATTTTTTTTTAAATTTCACCCCCAATTGCACCCCCTGAGACAAAGCAAAAGTTAATTGCGGGTATGGTTGCTGTGTATTGAAACCTCCCCAATTGAAATCTACAAATGAAAAGCCTCTACAGGTAATTTGAACTAAGTTATATGACTATTACGATAGAGTTATATTTTTCTCAGTGTACATTTGTGGATGTGGATAACTTCACACCCGTCTACTGTTAGGGGTTTCAAAGCATCTTTTAAACTAAATATCGTTTATAATTTCATGAGGTTTCCACTTAAAGCAAATTCGGGAATGAATCAGGACGAAGACCAAAATCTCTTGGAGTCTGTTAATGCTTTAAACGTTTTTAAGAGTGCTGAGGCTACAGATAATGAGGAATACATTGAGAGATCTTCACTTCCTGTAACATAAGAAGAATATTCCACTATGTACTTTGCCGGATACTTAATAAAAAATGTGTAGAAACATTTAAATGCGATGAGTGTCAAAATTATTTTGAAGAAAAAGAAAATATTTTGAATGATAAACACCAAGTTACCCATTTTTAATAAAACTTATAATCTAAACGAGCAATCCGGCCTAACGTAGAAGAATATTGTATATAATTTGCGAAAAATTATAATTCAAAAAATAGAAACACTTTTACCAGGATGGTGTTATTGTAATAGTAACTGTGTGGAACATCGACAGTATATGTTAGATTTATTAATTACAACTCAAATTTTCAAATATTGTAAGAACCGTTCCAAATTAGAAGCAGCAAAGAAAAAAAGAAAAATTCAAGCCAGTTAAAAAATGTAAAGTTGTCTATAGTGCAAAATACATAAATAAATGAATTCCTCATTTTCCTTTTATTTTTAATGTACTTACTTATTATACCTTACAAAATGTTTAATAATAATACCTACCTTTATTGTTTAATAATAAATAACCTCTGCACGTATAGTTATTTCCCCCAAGAAAGCTAATAATTATTGTAAGAGGCTGGTACTTAGGTAATTTAAAAATCTTGTCTTTTATTAATTTTAATATTATTTTATATTACCATTTTTTTAATCCAAACTACCTACCTACATTTTATTAAGAACTATAATATATAGGTAATAATTTCGTAAATTACGGTCCTGGATAACAAACATTCATAGGATTTTATTATTTCCATCATTTATGCGAAGATGATTGACAAAATTTGCAATTTACCTACATAAAGACAAAAATGTTAAATACCTACCTATGGCTTGAATTCACGCCAAACATAAAATATGCGTAATATGGTAGACCATCAACTTAAAGACTATCTAAGCGACTAATAATAAATCGCAATTATAAAGCTGCTAAACTATTATTCGATAGTTGCCAGTTTTGTTAAAATAGAGCGAAATAGAGACGATGTACGATCCAAAAAATTAGCGGAATGACAACGTTGTAAGGGAACAAACAATCGCAACTTCTTTTACCGGCATCTAGAAAACTGTCTTCTGCTTACGACTTTTTTATTTTCGGTATTGTCCGCTTGGAACCACCATGTGACAAGCATAATAAAATCAAACTTTATCTTCATAAGCGTTGACTTACTAGATATATTTATACAATGCTATCATCTATATTTTCTTTTGTCATATGAATTAATTTTTCAGTATCAAAAAAGTTAACTTATGCTATTTTTTAAAATTTATATATTCTTTGTGATTTTTTAATTCCAGTATGTTTTAAAACAAAATACATCAGAATGGGTTGGTTCAGAAGATGCTCCTCTTGAAGGTTTCTCTTGGAAAGGTGGCTCAGAAAGAGATACTACTGGTATCCTTATGTGGTCTGAAGTTTATACAACAGAATTAAGTACTGGGGAAAAGGTATAGATAATACATTTTAGATAATCTAAATATTGTAAAACAAATTATTGTATAGGTTGCAGTATTGTTAATAGACACACAAGGTACATGGGACAGCAAAAGTACAGTTAAGGAATGTGCTACCATATTTGCTCTTAGTACAATGCTCAGTTCAGTACAAATATATAATTTGTCTAGTAATATACAGGAGGATGATCTTCAACACCTACAGGTAATGTTCTTAATTTGAAATAATTACTATTTGTACAAAATGTCAGTTATTTTATTAATATTATATAAAGGAAAAATCACATTGCATAAAAAATATGTATCGTTTTATGATTCTACAAAATTATTTCTCTTTTCTAGCTTTTTACAGAGTACGGCCGTTTGGCATTAGCTGATTCTGGTACAACCCCCTTCCAAAGACTACAGTTCTTGGTTAGGGACTGGCGCTTTCCCTATGAGGCTCCATATGGTGCTGTGGGTGGACAACAGATACTTCAGAAACGTTTGGAAGTCAATGAACACCAACACAATGAATTACAGTCTTTAAGGAGACACATCAGTTCTTGTTTCACAGAGATTGCGTGTTTCCTGATGCCGCATCCAGGTATAAAGGTAGCTACAAGTCCTACTTTTGATGGACGCCTTGCTGGTAAGTATATATTTATGAAAGTTTAACATTGAAATAATTAATTGATATAAATTACAATATATTTTACATTGTTATTTGAAAGTGCTGTTTTTGTATTTTTGCTAATAATTTCAATATAATCTAAATGACTTGATTTTATAACAGTATTCACTAATAAGTTTTTAATTTTCCATCTCATTGTTTTTGTTTGAATATTTAACAATTAATAGAGATTATTTCAACACTAAAAAAATTAATGTCATTAATTAAATACTACCTTGACAACAATACAGGGTGTTAGGATAACATTTGCATAATTTTATCATATGTACTTTTAATCTGATTGGCAGTGCTATTAGTCATTTTTTTCTCAGACTTTGTTATATTTTAATTATGTTTATTTTAGAAATCGACTCGGAGTTTAAAGATAATCTGAGAATTCTAGTGCCAATGTTACTAGCACCCGAAAATCTAGTTCTTAAAAAAATTAATGGCGATAAGGTTAAAGTCAGAGATTTTGTCCAGTACTGTAAATCTTACATGCAAATCTATGAAGGAAACGAGTTGCCCGAACCAAAGTCAATGCTTGTGGTAAGTCATGTTTATATTTTACATCTGCTTTTTTATTGTTTGTATTTAAATGTTCATTTATGTAATCTCTGAAGAAACTAAAGTAGATCATTTTTTATGACGCTAATAATGTCGCAAAGAAATAATATGAAATGTTTACTTAAATTTGTGGATTAAAAAAAAAGTAAATGTCTATTTGAGCTTGATGGACTATTAACTTAAAGATATCCAAAACAAATTTATCCAACCTGTATGGCCTGGAGCCAACTAATTTACCTAATCGGCGGTAAGACAAAATATGTGAATATAATAAAACATTTCGTAAGTAATGAAAAACATTATTGAACCACATTGTATAAATAATAAGGAACTCTTTTATAACTAATCGCTATGCTATTCCATTGAAAATGCATACTAATGTTTTAGGCAACTGCTGAAGCAAACAACTTGGCGGCTGTAGCTGATGCTAAAGAAGTATATATAAGTATGATGGAGGAAGTTTGTGGAGGTGCTAAGCCCTATCTCAAGACTGAAGCTATTGAAACTGAACATCGTAGAGTTAAGGACAAAGCAATTCATCAATTTAATAGCAAAAAGAAAATGGGTGGTGATGAATTCAGTTTAATATATAAGGAGCAATTAGAAAAGGTAAATATTGTTTTTTTTTATTTGGTAACATTTTAATCCATGTTTTTAATTTTTTGTCAATGTTACACTAAATAATTAGAAATCATAAAAAGGAATTAAACTTAAAAATTATACTTATTTATACTTACCTATGAAGTGTACTGGATTTAATTTTCTTATATAGTAATTTAATAAATCAACATATATAGATAGATCGAATACTAGTTCAGTAATATTAATAAATTTAAAATACTTGTAAAATAGGAAAATTTATACATTCCTAAACCACCAAGGGTGAAAACAAATCAAAATAAAAATGAAATCCACCCTTCCCGGCCATATTCGAACCTACAATATCGGGCTGTCTGTGGTAGTGTCTTAGGCTGTGGTTAGGTGGAATCAAATTTGGACGTTAATGGCCGAAAGATATTGGCCAGCGATGATAAGGTCAGTAAATCACTGTTTAAGTCCGAAAAATAGTTGAATTTTTATAATTTCATAGGTTCAAATCCTGTCTGAGAGCGCCAAAGAAATAATAGTTGTGAAGAATTAATAAAAATACTTTTTAATTGTCACCTGTCGCCTGTCTTACTTCTGTTCAAAATGTCAATGTGGCGATATGATTTTTTAGTTAATCATTATTTAAAATGTATTTTTATTAATCCGTTGCAACTATAATTTCTTTCTGTTGATTGATTGTAACTATACATGAGAACAAAAAAATTGACTGCATTCACATTTCAGTCTTCAGTTTCAGCACTATATATCCCTCCAAAGTCACCTATTACTATCAAATCCACTTTTATCAGATTACACAATTAAGCGAAAAATATCCAAATGCCATCTATTTGGTAATTATAATCTTCCATCTGCAGTTTGGGAATTGAAAGATTATTGTTTCTCAGCAACTGGACAGCACAGCACATCATTGGCGGAAACTGAAGCTACTAAAGTCTCAAATATACGTGCCTTCCAATAAAACAGGGTGGTCAACAGTAGCGGGAGTTTTTTTTTTATTTTGTGTCATCGGTATCGACTGTTAAGGTCATTAGCCTCATTCTTGACTTAGTCCTTTCCAAAGCTGTTGACATTTTAATTACACCAGACTCTTATCACCCTCCACTTGTAACTACTTTACAGCTTTATGTTGATGAAAATGCGCCCTCTGGAACAGAATACTATGATTTCTGTAATGCAGATTTCCCAACTATATGCCAGTGTCTGGAAGTAATTGAGTGGGATGGCCTTCTTTATAGTAAATAACTTTCCGATATGGTATGCATATTCTATGGTATCTTGTTTTTAGAGATAGAACAATTTGTTCCTTTGAAAAAATCTGTAAGAGTGCATTCCCTTGTGGGTATTCTCCACAGCTTAGACAGTTGTTACATGATAAAACGGTAGCCCATAGAACTTATAAATGTATTAAGTCTCCTGAACATTACATTCATTTCAGTCAACTCAGAGCTCAATGCAAAATGTTATCTCTTACGTTACTCCCATTTACAAATCTGATGCAAAAAATCTTTGAAAGTATAATAATTGATTTTCTAACATACAACTGCTACAATATTTTAAATTAACAGCAAATCTGCTTAACTGAGTTTATTAACGTATGCCAACTTTCTGTCTGAAGCTTTGGAGAAGTGTCTACAGGACGATTCTGTGTATACCTTCTTTTCCAAGGCATTTGACAAGGTGAACCATGATCTCTCAATTTACATGGTATAGATGGGATGGTCTTACAATGGCTAAGTAGTTATCTAACAGATAGGACTCAACAGGTCCGAGTAATTCATCATTATTCCCAAATTTTCTCAGTAACCTCGGGTGTCCCTCAAGGGTCTCACTTAGGACTGCTACTATTAAACCTGTTTATAAATGATATCACAACTAGCTTTCCTGACACTAAAGCTCTATTGTTCACATAGAACATGAAGTGCTTCAAGATCATTTTAATGATTATAATGACACTCAGACTTTGCAATCTGATTTGAATAAACTAGCAAGTTGGTGTTCTAGTAATGGCAAATGTCACATTTTCTGATTTTGATGCAGCCATCATTTAATAACGTATAATTATAGTTTATTTCATCATGTTTTGGACTCTAGGAATCACCTTTGACTCTTCCATGAGCTTTAATAGCCATATCACTGTTACAGTTCAAAAATCAATGAAAATGCTGGGCTTTGTCAAGAGAACAACTCGTGATTTTACTAATCTAAACAGTTAAAATTCTATACTTCTCTTTAGTTAGGACACAACTGCTCCTCAGTCTGGTTCCCACCCTACCTAAGTTATAAAAGTAAATTAGATGTAATTCAAAATAGCTTTCTTAGATACATAGCATTTAAGTTTGACATTTACTACAATTATGCGGAATTGCAACAATATTTAAGCATACCCTCTCTGGAAGTTCATAGGAAACGAAAAGATCTTACTATATTGTACAAGATTATCAATGGCAGATGTAATTGCCCCGACCTCCTTGTCACAATCAAACTTTTTGTGCCGTCACGTACTACTAGAAAAATTCAAACATTCCATGTGCCTTTTCACCGATGCAATTATGCTTTTAATACATTAATTCCTAGAACACTTAGAAGAGCTAATCTTAATGATATTCAATTGTTTGATAGTTCTGTTCAGAGATTTAAGAACCACTTACACTGAATATTTGAACGTCACGTGTAATCTTATAATCTTCATTTGCACTCATTATAATTTAATTGTTTTGTACATTAATGTCTTCATCATTTTTATTTTATATTTTTCTTAATTTTTATGTTAGCACTATGTTATTATATTCTATGGTATTCAAACCGAATTGTGCTTTGCCCGTAAATAAATAAATAGAAACCTCGCACGGCGCTCTGGACCCTATTCTAATGTATGTGGTGAGACGCGCCGTGCGAGGTTTCTAAACTCACTCCAGTATATTTTTACATGACCTTACTTTGTAACCAAAAATTATTTTATTTATATCACCTAGAGGTCACCACGTGTAGGGTCTAATCGCTGAACCAACTTATACCGTTCAGGTACTTTTAATTGTTGACTTCCACCATATCAGAAACATATTTTCGGTTTAAATCAACTATTGCATCAGATGATCGCGCCCAATAAATATACACCTCTAAGTTTTACTCTAAACCTTGGTGTATCCTTTATGACGCACTGAAAGATTAATCCATTCATTCATAATTAAGCAGACAGAGCTGTCGCATCGGCTGCTGCATTATAAAGAAGGAAACAGCTGCTAATTTGAGTGGGAGTGGTTTGTGCGAGTATGTTTACCTGAATCTATATTTACCTCTACTACGCTTGCTTTACATTGCTGTCATATTTCAAAATTAATTGTGCACTTTCGTGATAAACACTATACAACTATAATAGATGCAATGAGAAAATAGTTATTTATGTACCAAGTCAGCAAAGTGATTCGTTATCGAACTAATCTGAGATTATGAGCTGAGCGAGTTCGATAAAGACACTTTGCTGATGTGGTCCATACAAACTTTTATCGCCAACCGTAAATAATTATATTTACATTTTTTACAGTGAGATAAAGTGTTTGTTTACTTCCTTCCGCAAATAGCTATGGTAATGCATGGCTTTATTGACGATTGGTGATAAAATATATATACTTTCCTAATGTAATTTTGAAAGGCTTTTGTACACTTTAGAGCAGCCATACTCAACCTTTTTTTTCCTTTGGGCCACATATGTTTGCTATGTTACATGGGCCGCAATATTTTTGGATGATGACCCTTTATTTAGGCCATTCATTTAAAATTAGTGGGAATCTCTAATTAATAAAATACAAAACATAAATATATCCTATCGGGTTACTGCAAAAACAAGTTAACTCACATTTGTAGTGATTCGAGAAAACGCTGCTCAAAAACTTAAAATTGAATAAAAAATCAGTAGAAGCTTCAAATTGCTTAATAAACAATAACTCGAATGAAAATATGTATTCAAAAGTATATACTAAAAATCTTTAATTTGTAACAAAAGAAAAAAGAAAAAAAACGTCACTGCTTATTTTAGCTATTTATATGCAGGACATAATATTCAATTTCTTGTCACTATCTTCAATAGAAGGTTCACGTACCATGTCTTTAACATTATTGGATACGGGAAGATTGTGATAATAATGGTGACATTCATCAGGTGCAGCACCTCATTTGCTTACTAATGTCTTGCACTGTTTTGTAAGTATTTCAGAGCTTTTTTTCACCCTTTCAGACATCCCTCTGGCTTGAGTTATTCAAGCAATACGAAAAGCTGGTGATTTAAGAAGTGCTTTTAGTCGTTTTAATGAGAAAACAATATGATGGAGACGAGCGTCAACATCTCCGCTCGTTATAGCTTGACCAATCACTCGTTACGGCTTGACTAATCAATCACTCACCACGGCGATTCGGGTATCACATGTTATCATCTATTGCTTTTTAAAGGTTAGCTGTATCGTGAAAAGAACGGGTGACATAATCACCTTGTCGATTTCGGACCAATCGGAAAAGGCCAGAGACGTCTCTAGGCAAAACAGAACAAATGGCTTGTCAAAAATGTTGAAGTATTTCAACTAATACCAAAGAATACATACCCAAGAAGCGAAACTGAATGAGTTTTTCTATGTACCAAAGTAGCAGCGACCTTGACGTAAATAGGAACTTAATACACTGGGAAACGTATAATTCCAATCAATTTTTTTGTTTGGTTCATGAGAATTAAACACATACTAAATTTAAAATGACGGAAAATTCTTGCTATATTAATTGATTCTGGATACGACCCTGTCAAAATGTCGCCAATCTAAGCAATCGTTTTGCTTCGGCTCCTCGTATACCGAAGACTATAGTATTAGCTAAATGTTTTTTTTTTTAATTTGTAATATTTAATTGTACTCAAATACCATAATTTATTTCTTCATGTTAAACACTGGTTAAAATCACTGAACAAACGCCACCCTCGTTAAACTAACATTTTTATATGTATATTAGTTTGAAACAATTACTACCTTTTTTGGAGGATCAATAGTGAGAATATCATAGCTTCGTTTGCATTTGAAGAATACTGTGGGTACAGCATTGTCAAATAATCGTCTTCTATAAGATGTACTGCTTGAAAAATATTTTTCTTCAAAATGTTGTTCACATATTCTATATGAAGATAAGCCACTAGGAACTGTGAAATTTAAATCTTCACGATTACAAGCTTTTAACCAGAGTTGAGCTCTACAAAATTATATTTATTAATACTTAATTTTTCTAAATAAATTTAAACAGTAACATTTCAGTACATACCTTATGGCATCTCCTGGGAATTTAAACATTGTTAGCCCTTGTTCTGAAGTTGTAATACAACCACGAACAACGCAATGTATTTTTTTCATTGTAATAAAAACCTTTAAACTATCTAATATATAATTACTACTTTTAAATAAACTTACTGAAATTTTCTCAAAACGCTAAGAATAATATACCAAACGTCATCTACATGAACTGACAACTATATTTGACGTTAAACTACCTCTAAAACACTGAGAAAACTTGGCAATTTTTTGTCCACGAATCGCCCATTTAGTGTCGCTTCTTGGGTAGGTATTCTTTGCTAATACATTCAACAAAAATAAGTGTTTCTAACCTGTATCTTGTTTTAGCAGAAACACTGTTAAGAATCGGACTAAACACATTTAGCAAAAATAAGTGCCTCTTATCTGGTTTTGGTAAACACATTATTAGCAACTGAATACAACGTTATGATTATATTTCGGTATAAATTCCACTGATCTTGTTTGCGCATATTGTGAGTGTATTAATATGGAGTTACTTTTTGTTGACCATCGTTCACACTTGTCTCTTTTATGCCGTATATTATTTGAAACATTTTGGAGACGAAAGTGTATTTAACTCGAAAATGCTGAAAGTGAAGCCATCTTGTTCTTGCAAACGTTTATTTAAAAATGAACGTGATATTTAGCGCAGCGTCCGATGAATGTTTTCGCGCATTTTGTTCAGAATTTTAAAATCAGATACCTATAGTTTTAAAAGTAGCTTTTTAATAATAGTGTTTCGGGCCACAAAAAAAGCTTGGAGGGCCGCGGGCCACAGGTTGAGTATGGCTGCTTTAGAGCCTTATGTTTAGTCAATACCGAATTATTTGACAACTATGTGGATGACACCCTGAATGTTTGCAATTCTATTTTTGTAAACAAAATTAGTCCAGTAGTTTTTCGTCGTTATTTTGAACTATAGTGTATAGAACTTTGATGTGAGATATGTCGGTGACTATCAAACTTTTTACAATTTAGCTTTCCAACTAACTCTGTTGGTTTACGAAATCACTAGATAACAAAATTAAATTTGAATTATCCTGTTTAATTTAGAGTTTAAGTTTAAACTGTTTGTTCATACAGATCAATGAATTTATAAAATAGCGAATAGTTTTATATTCATAAACTTAAAAAAAAAATGTTAATAAAATTTGAGACTTAATTTTTCATTTTTAGGATATTGAAGATACGTTTAATCAGTTCAAAGCGCACAACGAAAGCAAAAACATTTTCAAGTCTGCCAGAACTCCAGCCGTATTTTTCGCCCTTGCCGTCATGTTTTACATTATGTCTGGTTTATTAGGTTTCATAGGTATATATTCGCTAGCGAACCTCTGCAATATGGGAATGGCAGTTGCCTTTTTAACGTTGGGTACATGGGCATATGTAAGGTAAGTAATTGTGTTATTTTTTAAACCTAATTTCACATTTTTAATGATGCAGTTTATTACAGTGTTTTCATTTTGGTTCTTGGGTAAAGGGACCTTCTATAAATATTTACTTTACTATGATTGTAATTAAAAAATTAATGCAATTAGTAAAAAAACATTAAAATTGTGGTATTTTCACCAAATAACTTCTTTAAATGTCTCATAAAAATATTACACTTTTCATTCTATTATGAACTAACTGAAAACGTTTCCCAAAAATGTATAACCTTTTTTTTGTGCTTTGTCTTTTTCACTATTGTTTTGTAATTTACATAATTTGATTTGAAGATAGAAAACAAGGAACAACTAAATAAAATTCGAAACATTTCTTATTAATAAAATGACCAGTTAGACCAGAGCATACTGGCGCATTCGTTTGCAAAATTGTTTTAATTCGTAATTTTTTTTTTTTTTTTAATGTCCAGAAGGCTTTCCTGATTATAAAAGTGTAAGATGACACTCGATATATGTTGATGTTATTATTTAAACAACGAAAAATTAATTAAGCCAGAAAAAATGCATTTTTTGCAATGAATTAATTTTTTTTATATTCTTTAAGATATTTCGAATAAACAAGTATTAGAAATTAAAAATTTAAAAAAACCTACTTTAAAAACGTGCAGATGCCGTCACTACATCTTAACCGAATTTATATGGGACCACCCCTGAGGTATCCCCTTACTAACAAAAAAAGAATCATATAAATCGGACAAGGTGGTAAAGCATTATCGCTATACATACATAAAAAATGAAGAGTTTGAGGATTTTCTCACACACCCAATTATTATATTTCTAACAAAAAAAGAATTATTGAAATCGGACACCGTGTTGAAGAATTATCGCTGAACACACATACAAAAAAAAAAAAATCGCGACCAATTGAGAACCTCCTCCTTTTTTGAAGTCGGTTAAAAAAGTCCTTACACCCATCATCGATCTTCAACCCTTTAATTGTTATGATTTTTTTAAAATCCAAAATTGACGAAAATTCTAATTTTCTTGAATTAAATAATATACCTTAAAATTTAAAATGCTATAATTTTAAATTTTTTACCGAATATTCAAACTGTAATAAACAAAAGTACCTAAATAAATTTTCAAAATTTTGTTTGTTTTTTTTACGTTATAACAATATGCTTCCTACGTGCCACGATGCCAAGAAAAAGATTGTTCACTAGTATTTTCATTAAACAACAAATTAAATCGCACAGTCACGTTATCGTTTCGACGAAGAGTTGCATTTTTTTTAATTTTAAATATGTATCAGGTTTCGGACACTTCACTAACGTCTCGCCATGATCACAAAATAAACACTTTTTGTCGTCAGATAATTTAATTTTTTTTGGAATTAAAGAGAACGACATTATTACTCAGAAAATTACACAACTGCAAAGTAAACCATTAGATGTATAATCGAGCAAGACTGATTAACAACTGAAAAATAATTTTCAAAACGAGCCAAAAATTGTAAGGTAGGGTTGAATTTTCTATTTGGAAGGTTGTAAAAATTGTTTATGACAGGAAAAAAAATAGAAACGTACAATTTTTTCAAAATACGAAATAAGTCCCTTTACCTATTTGTATTCATAGTGCAAAAGATTGAAAGTCATAAAAAAAATCATATTTATAGTACTTACTCTCAATATTAGAAAAAAAAAAATGTTTTTCTTTATTTTTGTTAAATGGATAAAGGCTTGGATATTGTTGAAATCATAAAATTTTATGACCCCAGTAAAAGCCTACTATGTTCATTGTAACAGGTAGATATTTTTCACGGATCACGACAAGTGCATTTGGCCTTTTTATCGTATTGAAAAAAAAAAAAAGGTTGAAGAGAATTTTACTTCTCAGGCAGTATCAGACAATAATTTTTTCATGAATAAAAATAAATGTTAAAAATAAATGTTTCTGTTAACTTTAATAAATAAAATCAAAAGTATCTAAAAAAGTGAAAAAAAATCACATGATACAAACTTATTAATCGGCAAATATAACAAAGTGTTATGACAAAAGTTAATAATAATTTTTTTAAACTTATTACCTCTGAAAAACAGCAAAAAATTGATTCAGCGCGTCATCGTGCTTATACATTCAGTTGGAAGTGAGATAGAAGTACTTCTCTCTAAAAGTACACGCGCGTAGGAAGCATATTGTTATAACGTAAAAAAAACATAACAACAAACAAAATTTTGAAAATTTATTTAGGTTATTTTGTTTATTATAGTTTGAATATTCGGTAAAAAATTTAAAATTATAGCATTTTAAATTTTGAGGCATATTATTTAATTGAAGAAAATTAGAATTTTCGTCAATTTCGGATTTTAAAAAATTCATAACAATTAAAGGGTTAAAGATACGATGATGGGCGTAAGGACTTTTTTATTCAAAATATCCGAAAGAATATAAAAAAAATTAATTCATTGCAGAAAATGGATTTTTTTCTGGCTTAATTAATTTTTCGTTGTTTAAACAATAACATCAACAAATATCGAGTGTCATCTTGCACTTTCATAATCAGGAAAGCCTTCCGGACATTAAAAAAAAAAAATTACGAATTAAAACAATTTTGCAAACGAATGCGCCACTATGCTCTGCACTAAGTTCAAGTTGTTATTTTAATGATGTACCTATTTGAAATATTTCAGTTTTATAAATGATACATTAAAATTTTCTTAAAAATAAACAAATAACATTGCTTTAAATATTTTAAATGTTATCTCTAATATTTGTTATCAAAATCTCTAAAATTTCTGTAATCCAGGGATTATTATTATAAATAAAATTTAAAAACTAAGTAATGTTAAATACAATATTCGCCAAAACAAACAGTACTGAAAGTGAAAATTGTATCTAGTTTTTAATGTATTTTCAAAGATTGTATGAACTGGCCAAGAATGCGCTCTTGATTGTTTATAAAATTATATATTCTTTGACGATCTGAAAATTCCTTGTGCTGGCACAACACACTACCAGTGCTACGAAATTCCTCAACACTTACACATTTATGTTTCAAACATTCTGTCCAGTTTCTCAGTTGGGAGAACTGTTTTCAAAACTATTTTAACCCAGCCTAATATTAATGTAACTGAAGATGCTTACAATATTTTATATAAATCTACAATGGGGCATGTTCAAAAATTTTGAAATTTTTTTTATGAATAATAGAGTTGAAAATAAAATTACATTTTTTTTATTTTTTTTTTTTTTATCTATTCATTTGCCGGAGTTATGAATTTTTTTAAAATTTATGACGTCACCGGGAATAGACCAATAGGAGCTAGCGCACAACGTTGCCGGCTAGAAGGTTTACGAGAAGTGATGTACGTTCGTTTGTGTACTCCTTACTTTTAGACTTCTAAAACATCGTTAAACAAATATCTTTTAAATATATAATATCAAATGTTTTTTGAAAGTATTATTTCTGTTTAAACTTTTACCATATTTAAAGTTTCATTGTTTTAAAAGTCACTTAATAATTCAGAAAATGGCAAAATGGCAGCACTGTGTATGGCATCTGTCATCGTAGTGTCTCCATCAAGAATTTATTTGGAATTTGATTGTTTAATTTTGTACTTTTTATAAATATTATGACTACGAAAAAGTGTTTTGTTCCAGAATGTGATAATGATTCACATTCATCTTCAAAAATATTTATTAGTGTTCCTAGAAATTTGGAAAGAAGAAAATCAACCTTCTACTAGCGATGTTTCTCGTGAACTTTTTAATAAAAATACACCGGATTATCAAGATGTAGCAGCAATTTCTGCTAATTGTCCCCTTCAGGAAATTGAAAATAAGGCTACTATAAATTCTTAGGTGTATAACCTAAAAACCCTTCTGGAAGAAAATGCAGAATCTCCTGAAAGTTTTGAAGATACCGAATTTATTCATCATTTTGTGGAAGAACTAGTGATAAAGAAATAATGGAAAAATGTGGGTATTTAAACAAACTGGTTCCTGGATCCCATATAATGGCAGATAGGGGTTTCAGAATAATCAGCTACTTGAAAACATGGGATACACTTTAGTAAAGCCACACCTAGTGTATCACAGAATGAAAAAACTTCTCCAGAAGATGTACAATTAAGTAAAAGAATAGCATCTCTAAGAATACATGTGGAAAGAGTTATAAGAAGGGTTAGTTAATTTAACATGTTAAAACCACATTCGTGTGTGAATTTTAAGCAAGTACATTTACTTAGTAATATCTGCATAATTGCTTGTTAACTTACAAGAACCTATTTTGTAAGAGTAAATATTAATTTAATAAACTTTTTTGTTTGTTTTTCAATTTAATTTACCTAATTATCACATTTCAGGGATTATAATGAGTTTTTAAACAGCCAATGTAATTTTTTATAAAATTTTAACTTTTTGAGCAAATCAAAGAGGAATGAGTACCTGTATATGCATAGATTTTTTTGGGACTAAAACTACCAAAACAAAGGCACCTATTTACAGCAGTTTAAAATGAAACATTTTAACAAAAACGCCTATGTCACAGTGATAAATATTAAAAACCAAGTTCAGTTGAATGTGGTAGCAAAGTCTATATATTCCAATAAATCGGGTAACTACATGTGGTATCACTGGTGATAAATTTAAAAATATCACAATTCTTGCCACCTTTTTCAAAAAACCAGAAAGTGTGCCTTCTTATGAAAATGACAACAGTGATAAATGTGAAAAAAAAATTTCATGTTGCTATTCGTTATTACGATAGTAAAACATGTTTGCAGTTCCGTTTATTTTTTATGAAAATCTAAGTAAAAACAACCAATGTCAAAGGGTTTTAATTTTTTTTCTGTCAAACCAAATATATAACAAAATTAAAAATTGATCATAGGTCAAGCTAAAGTAATACCTTTATTAATAGTAGCTTTAAAAAAGGAGAAAGAATAATATTGACTTAAGTTATTATTATTAACATTGGTGATTTTTAATAAAAACTTCAATTATTG